AGCCAGACTCCATCAGCAAGCTAACCTACTGGTCAGAGTGTCTATCCCCTGGTGGTCAGTGCACATCATAGCGAGTGGTTGAACGGCCTTAGCATATCATTAGCATATTATGCTTTGATTGGTTGAACGGCCAACCAGATGACCAGACACTTAGCATATTAGGCTTTTATTATATAGGACTAGAGGCCCAGTGCATGAAATCTGTGCATGGGGAGGCAGGGGTCCCTAAGCCCAGCCTGCACCCTCTCCAATCTGGGACCCCTCAGGGAATGTCTGACTTCTGGTTTAGGCAAGATTGGTCCTAAACCAGCAGTCGGACATCCCTTTCACAATCCGGGACCACTGGCTCCTAACTGGTCACCTGCCTGCCTGCCTGATTGCCCCAAACTGCTCTCCCCTGCCAGCCTGATTGCCCCTAACTGCCTCTGCCTCGGCCCCTGCCACTGTGGCTTTGTTCGGAAGGATGTCTGGAAGGATGTCCATTGTAATTAGCATATTACCCTTTTATTAGTATAGCTAGGTAGATCATTGGATAGAGGGAATCGATGGGAAAAAAGGGGGGACATCCGTAATACTTTAAACAGTAAAGATAACTTTGTTTTAAATGTTTAAAAAATTGCCTTTCATCTCTAGTTGGTTAGGCTCAGTGGATAAAGCATCGGCCTGCAGACTGAAGGGTCCCAGGTTCGATTGCAGTCATGGGCACATGCCCGGGTTGTGGGCTCGATCCCCAGTAAGGGTCGTGCAGGAGGCAGTCAATCAATGATTCTCATCGTTGATGTTTCAACCTCTCTCCCTCTCCCTTCCTCTGTGAAATCAATCTTACAGCATAAAACAGCTTACTATTTCACAATTGCTATTTAGTTCCTATAAGAAGGTGTTTAGAAAGAAAGGGAACAAGGTATGGCATCACTTTGTTATCATTGGTTGAACTTATGCCTGAAACTGTTAACACACAGCTCAAAGAAATGGGGACAGAAACCGGTTGCTTGGTGATGGAGGAAGGTAAGAGAAAGACCATAAAACCATTGCTGCTGTTGAGTGGTAGAGGGGGCAGCATATAACAGTTGTTACAAATGCCTCTGAGCTGGTAACAGAAGGCTCAACTGTGTTCCATGGAAATAAAAAAGGCAAAATTTTGGCCCAAATTTGAAGAACCAATGCTCTGGGATTTCCAACAATGAATTACCTTAAAGAGTAATAAATTCTATGGCTAGGAGTAGTCAAACAGAGACGGATGACCAATTGTTAAGAAGCAGTTTTTAAAAATATGTTTTTATTTGTTTCAGAGAGGAAGGGAGAGGGAGAGAGAGATATATATAAACATCAATGATTAGAAGCACTGATCTGCTGCCTCCTGGACAACCCCTACTGGGGATCAAGCCTACAACCCAGGCATGTGCCCTGATGGGGAATCAAACCTTGACCTCCTGGTTCATAGGTTGGCACTCAACCACTGAGCCATGCCAGGCAGACTGTAAGAAGCAATTCTTGCCCTGCAGCAGTGGCTTTATGGTCTTACTCTTTATGGTCTTTCTCTTATCTTCCTCCATCACCAAGCAACTGGTTTCTGTCCCCATTTCTTTGAGCTGTGTGTTAACGTTTTCAAGCATAAGTTCAACAACTGATAGTAAAGTGATGCAATACCTTGTTCCCTTTCTTTCTGAACCCCTTCTTATAGGAACTAAAAAGCAAATTGTGAACCAAAGTAAGCTGTTTTATGTAATAAGATTGATTTCCTGTCTCTTAAAGGGAGGGCAGTTTCCAGGCAGAAGTTGAACAGTTATATATTCTGGATGTTGTGAGGCCAATTTGTGCACTGGGTAAAAAATTAGATTACATTACCTTTTTTTGTTAATCCTCATCCAAGGATATTTTTCTATTATTTTTAATTTTTAGAGAGAGTGGAAGGGAGGAGGAGAGACAGAGAGAGAGAGACACATCAATTGGTTGCCTTCCACATATGCCCAGACCAGGGCATTGAGCCTGCAACCGAGGTATTTGTCCTTGACTAGAGTCAACCTGGGACCCTTCAGTCTGAGGGCCAACACTCTATCCAGTGGCCAAACTGACGAGGGCCTAGAATACATGACTTTTAAAGACCTATTTGAACTCTAAGATTGTATTAAAAAACTGACCAAAGGGTCCAGGGTTCAATTCTGGTGACAGGCTCTTCTCAAAGTCATGTAGCTTGGTTGCAGGCTCCTCCCTGGCCTGGGCCCTAGTCGGGGTTGGTGCAGGAGGCAACCAATGTGTTTCTCTCTGTCTTTCCCTCTCTCTTCCACTCCCCCTAAAAATCAATGGAAAAAGATCCTCAAGTGAGGATTACAAAAAAAAAAGAGAGAGCATTGCAGATTCTTGATGTTTTGGCATTCTGCATGCACTGAAAATATTATTAAACTAGAAGCCCGGTGCACAGATTTGTGTACCAGTGGGGTCTCTCAGCCTGGCCTGCAGGATCAGGCTGAAACCAGCTTTCCGGCATCCCCCAAGGGGTCCTGGATTGTGAGAGGGTGCATGCCAGGCCAAGGGGAACCAAACCGACAAGGGTAGTAAAAACTCTTAAAAGCCCTAGCCAGTTTGGCTTAGTGGACAGAGTGTCAGCCTGTGGACTGTAGGGTCCTGGGTTCAATTCTGGTCAAGGGCACATGCATGGGTTATGGGCTCGGTCCGCAGTAGGGGGCCTGCAGGAGGCAGCGGATCAATGATTCTCTCTCATCATTGATGTTTCTATCTCTCTCTCCTCCCTTCCTCTCTGAAATAAATATACCTTTTTTTAAAAAAAAGAAACTAAAGAACCCAAAAAACTCTTAAAGACCACATATTACTGTATAGGAAACATCATGACACAGACATATATTATACCTGGTATCTTCCTCAGTTTCAGAAAATATAAACTTATTTTTTTAGAATTTAATTATATTATAAATATAACCCTGGCAAAATGGACATCCAATGAGCCATGAATCAAAATGGGGACATTATCTAGTGTTTCCCATCATTGGATGGCTGGGGGCAAGGTAGGTTTTTATTTGCAAATTATGGTTTGAACATGGGATTACCGGAGAATTTCTGAATTTATTACAAGAAAAACTTTTAAATGTGACTGTAACTATATGTAGTTGACTATGAGAAATTATGTTATTTTTCCCTGATTATTGGAAAGTCAAAGTTTTAG